GGTAGTTGAGGAAGCCCAGCGACGACTTCATGGCCGCAGCCATCGACGCCATGGCCGTGTTCTTGCACGAATCGACGACAGAGCAGGTCAAGTCCTTGGCTAGTGCCACATTCAGTTCCAGCACCTTGGCCTTCTCCTTGCCCGTCATGGGGTCTGGCCGGTAGTTGGTACTAGGCCACGCGTGGGCCATCTGCATGAATTGATCCTGCTCGGGTGAGCACACCAGGCCACACCACAAGTTCATGAGGTTAGCGGCGCAGGCGTCGCACCCGGCGCTGTTCTTGGCGAAGACACTGGCCACCAACTTGAAGTTCTCGGCCATGGCTTACGAGCAGCACGCGTTGTCCTTGTAGGCGGGACACTGGATAGCGAATTGGCCGCAGTGCGGGCCAGCGGCCATGCCGTCCTTGCGGCACACGCAGGCTCCATTGATACACTGCCCCTTGCCATTGCAGTCGGTGGCGTTAGCACACCTCCCGCCACCGATGACACTCGGCCAGTCATCTGCAGAAGTAGCCATGTTAGTGAGCGTAATTATGCTGGTTGGTGTACTTGGGTTTCCTCGGTGCTTCCAGGCATTGGGGGGATTAAAAAGTTTTCATTGTGTTAATGGGCCAAAGCCAGGAGGTGCTTTGGTTGATAGGCAAGGTGCCGAATGGCAGCCCTAAGGGATGGTGGGAGGGTAGAAAATTCTGTCTATCGAGCTGGAGAGGCTTGTTGGGGAGTGTCGGTCACGGCGGTGCGCCAGGATGTCGACTCGGGGCGGCGCGCTCAGCGACGCAAAACGCAGAATGAGCGGGCTTGTTGTTCATGGTGCTTGAATGTCTTATCCTACAGCGGTTCCTGTCGGCTGACGGCGTGTCGGGTTTCGTCGTGCCTTCCTTCATTCGGAAAAATAATTATCCACTTGTTCACTTTGTTGCACCGTGGACTAATTTCACACTTCGCGAAGGCTGGGATAGGTACATGGCAACGTCGGTTAAATTCATGAAAGTCACTTTTTAGATATTGCGTAAGGAGCAACAGGTCAAAACAATTCGGCTAAGGTACCTAGATAATGCAACCCGAACGAGCCATGGGCATATCCTGCGCCTGCTTCGCAGCCGCAGCATATACCCGGCCATTAGTACGAAGCACGTGCGATTGTCAAATGAAAAACGAACCCTCGCCTCCATGAAGAACAATCGTCAGTCAATACCAACTTAGACTGACGTTAAAACCGGTTACCGTTAATTAAACATTACATTACTGTAAAGTATCAACGCATAAAATACATTCCGGAAAGGTGCTGAGGAGAGTTCCGAATGATCCCTTGATGCGGCGCGACCTGAGATGTCTCGAACCGTCGATGATTCCTCTCACTTTTCAGTTCGTGCAGTGGCCCCCACCCTCCGCGGGCTCATACCCGCTGCTGTCAAGAACGCATACACGCGTCTACCAATCTACCGATCTAGCCAATCTATCATGCAACCTATCGACGCGGCGTGCTCGATTGCTGCGGCGGCCCCCACCCCCCGCGGGCTCATACACGCCGCCGTGGCACCGAGCACGCTGCTTATCAGCTCATCAATCTTACGACTGACTTTTGTGTGTATATTGTATTTCCTAGTGACGTCATGGTATCGTGCAACGGTGGCGCGCTAGCTGACGATTCGTTCACGCGGGGCACCGCCATCCCGAAGCTATGCCCAATTGCATCGAAGTGTTAGGGCGAATACCATGCTGGATACCGCGCGGCGTTGATTGAATATGTGGGGCACCGCGATACCAGAGCTGTTCCATTTGTTGAAGTTTGAAGGTGGTTGTTCAGACACCACCAACGCCTAACGATTAAGTTACTTTGAGCAATTCGTACACGACCAGGTAGGTGACGTGTAGTACGACGACACCACTATATCTTAGTAATCAAGCACGAATAGGCCTTTGTAAGGTAATACACCTGCGTAAACGTTCCATTAACCTGCAAGCCCATAGTTTCTTACATGAGCGATCGGATACATACGTTCTTGGGAGTGCTCTCTAACGTATTGCATCATAAAAGTCACACAAATAAGGTAAGAGGCCATTTAAGCCTCCATCCTGCGATACTTTATAATAAAACTTGTGTAAATCAGTAGATTTGTGTTTTGGATGCAAAATTTTAGATTTATAAGACCCTTACACTTGAAATTTGTATTGGTTCAGTACCTACTTTTTCTGTGAACCACATATTTCAAGTATCGAATTAATCCCTATTGGGCTTCTCGTACTACTGAGTAGCACTACCAGGATTAATGGATACATGCGCTTCTTTACTCCGATTTAGTGAGCTTCAATTTCGTCTCGCATTTACACTAGCTGAGCACCTCGTTCACTGCGCTTCCTCGCTGCTAATTTGGGGCGACACTAAATATTGTGCTCTACACAAATTTCGCGATGCCCCCCC